AATAGTGAATTTTTTTCTATCATTCGTCTCATTACTGTATCTTCCTTTGCCCTCCCTCATTATGTGTGTAGGAAAGGCCTGGATACTTTAGATATATCATATACACAGAGGGAAGTGAAAGTGAGATGGTTATAAATGTTATATTCTTTCTTAGTGCAAGGATGAATTTTCAGATGTTAGCCACTTGTGTAACTCAAGAACAACCAAAAAATAGTCACCCAAATTGTCCTTTATGATAGATATTTTCTTTGATCCTGGCATATCTTTGTCCATCTGTTACCAGAAAATGTAAAAATCACATTTTCCATAGCTTCAGACCTTGTAAGCAACCCCTTTTAGATGACATGGTGCATCCAGAGGCAAGAAATGCAGCCAATGCCAGGTCAGACTTTGAACATGAGTAAACTCCCTGAAGTCACTGATAACTCACCACAGGTGGGCTCATAACTCAGTGTAGTGCCTTGGACCACTGCAAGAACATTGTGTCAGGCAACTGAATGAAGCAATGTACCACCCTAAGAAAGTTCTGTTCTAAACTTTTCTGAAAGATAGGTCTCATGTCAGGATAGGAAAGCTGCCAGCTTTAAGAAAACCCTATAATATCCAGGTTTCATCATCTGTTTTCAAGCACCTATTAAAAGCTGTATTTTGGAAGAAAACACTGATGGGTTTCTTTCCTTCTTCAAAATACTATGTGCCTCAAATCTTAGCTATACAGGTGACTGGAGAAGATAAAATCAAGACTGAAATTAATTTGTTATCACCTACTTCCATTCTGGTCCATCAGCTTGTTCGAAACAACCAATTTTTTGAACCCATAATGCACACCTTCCTGTTATTACATGGAGTATTTTTCACCTCAAGTGGGAAGGTCTCCTGCATGATGTTTTATTTAGGAACCTTATTTACTGATCACTTGTTCACCTTTTTAGAGAGGCAACCTTTGTCCCGTGCACATTATATAACATTGCTTTAGAACTATAGTAGGAGAGACAAATGCTAGCTGACTGTGCTCATTGTGACTGTGATCAGGTGTGCCACAGCATCAGGGTACCCTCAGAACATCAACATTCACTTTTATATTCAGGCTATAACGTGAAGCCCATTTGTTTTCCTGGAAATTTCTGGTAGAAAATCTGTTTTTAAATTGCTGGTCAATGTGAGGGGAGGAAAAAAGGATGTATTTGCACCAGTTTAAGAATTGTCAGAAACTCATAATATGTTTTAGTGGATTATATATGTGTGGATTATACAGTGGATTATATATACAATTGTATATTTACAATTGTATATATATATATCTGTATTGTATGTACATACACACACAGACTTATATGAGTCTAAACATGTGTGAATGCATATATATGCATAAAATAGTGAGAATATCTACTGACATATGAGGTATAAGAGGTGCTGTACTGCAAGCAATTGAAATGAAAAGTACCTCCCTCATAGCACAAAACTGTCTTCAGAAGACACAAACATATATAAATCTGGAAATTCCTTGCAATACTTTTTAAACTAAAATAATTAACAAACTATTAATACACCATCTGAAATATTCTTTGAAATGTGGAAATTCTCAATTCGGTACAATATATCTGCTTCTATTAAAAGAAGTGGGAATTGTAGTTAGCAAACCTGAGTGATCTGAATGTATCCCATACATTATTTTTTCATGGAAAATGGAAAGGACTTAACAGTGAGTGCCTCAACTACATATCAGGCGGCACACACAAAAAGAGGAGGAAGTAGATGCAATGTCTGCCAACGAAGTCTACTAACCTGTCTCCTCTGCTCCAAAGTCCTTCATCTGGAAGAAAGGCCTCAAATTTAACCTTTTAAGAGGCATTTAGATGCCTAAGTATATTCACTAAATGCCATCTGGGATGCCTGTGAGAAACCTTTTGGCCTCCAGTTCCCATCCCTGATGGATGGAGATCTATTGTACCTTATATATTCATATACAATCTTTGGGGTACATAGAGGAGCTGGGATCTCTAGGCATCACAAGATAGAAACAATTTATTGGATTCGCCTTACATAGATAGATACCAGTTCAGGTCACGATCCAAGTTACTATTTAGAAAAATTTATTTTTGATTTTTTAAATTGCTTGTTATAGAGCAAAATTTCAGACATTTGGTTATACAAGCTCCAAGTAGCCAAAACTGCAATCTTTAATTATTATTCCTTGTGTTGTGTGGATGAGAGCACTCGCCTATTTTAGATCTTGTTTGAACTTCTGTGTAACTTCTAAAAATAATTCTCAATGCTACTTCAATTTATCAGCAATCAAGAATCTACTGTAGCATTTCACAAACTCTTTTAATACTGTCAATTACATACAATGGTCTAATTTTGCTTTTAATTTTTAAAGTTGCCTTGGTCACTTCTAGCTTACAGGCACTGACATCTGCGCTTTTCTCCAACAGACCAAACACATCAAGTGGCAATTCCTCACGTAGGTAGTCAGAGATTTCATAGCACATCAATCCTTAATCTTCTTGTTAGTCCAGTAAATAGATGGCAATCCCTGAGCTTTTTTTCCAAACCACGTTTCTCCGGCCTTTGATCACACCATTAGCTCATCTCTGATCCTTTCCAAAGCAGGACATGGTATTCCTGCATAGTATAAAGGAATGACTTTATGGAACTCAGACACAAACAGTGAAACATTTATCTGCTGCAGTTGTTGAAAACTTTCCAGATTCACAGTCTTCCTCTGATCTGTTCCCACCTGTAGGCATGGGGTGACTTTTAGGTCTATGACTAAGTTCCTTCTAGAAGCTGTGCTAAGGCAGATGAAGGAGAGGGAGGGGATTCAGGGCATCACGGCTTCACCAAGGGCATTCAGAGTGTAGTGATCAATGGCTCATAGCTCTGATGGACATCAGTGACAAGTGGGATCCCTCAGGGTCAGTAGTGGGACCACTGTTAATAATTTTTTTTATTAATGATGTAGACAAAGGGATCAAGTGCGCCACTCAGCAAATTTGCAGTTGACACTGAGCTGAGTGGCGCTCATGACACACCTGAAGGACAGGATGCCATGCAGAGGGACCTGGACAAGCTCAAGAACTGGGCCCATGGGTACCTCATGAGGTTTAACTACACAAAGATCAAGGTTCTGCACCTGGGTCAGGGCAATCCCCAGTACCAACACAGGCTGGGGATGAGCAGATGCAGAGCAGCCCTGCCCAGAAGGACTTGGGGGTGCTGGTGGGTGAGAGGCTGGACATGACCCAGCCATGGACACTCCCAGCCCAGAGAGCCAAACGTGTCCTGGGCTGCATCCAGAGCAGCGTGGGCAGCAGGGCAGGGAGGGGATTCTGCCCCTCTGCTCTGCTCTGCTCTGGGGAGAGCCCACCTGGAACCCTGTGGCCAGCTCTGGGGTCCCAGCACAGGAAGGACATCAATCTGCTGGAACGAGTCCAGAGAAGAGACACTAAGATAATTAGAGGGGTGGAGAAACACTTTTGTGAGAAAAGGCTGGGACAGTTGTTTCTTTCCAGCCTGGAGAAGGCTTTGGGTTGATGCTACTGTGACCTTTCAGTACCTGAAGGGAGTACAAGAAAGATGGAGAGAGATGTTTTACAAGAACATGTCGTGACAAGAAAAGGGGGAATTGATTGAAACTGAAAGAGACAGATAGTTTTGATTAGATATTGGAAAAAAATCTCTTTTCTGAAGGTGGTGAGGCACAGGAACAGGTTTCCCAGAGAAGTTGTGGATACTCCATCCCTGCAAGTGTTTCAGGCCAAGCTGGATGGATCCTTGAGCAACCTTGTCTAGTGGAAGATGTCTCTGCAATATGGGCAGAGGGAGGGGGTTGGAACTACATGATCTTTAAGGTTGCTTCCAACCCAAATAATTTTTTCATTCAGCAATAAACCCCAGTAGAAGGTATGTCATGTTAGTTTACATGTATTTTTATAGTAAGCTTATGCAAATTGTACTACAGGCCACTACTCTCATTTCCACATGTATAAATGACCCTGAACATCGTAAAAGATTTTTGTTTGCTAGCATGCAAAAGGAAAGCTGAGATGAATGTATTTCCCACAGGTGTCCTTCCACTCAGTGCATGTACCTTTTCCCCTCATTAGTAACTCCCTTGCATGAGGTTTTAAGAAGCATGTTTTTAAACAGCCCACAATTCAGCCCACTGGAACTTGGTAAGGAGACTGAAGGGGGCTTATAAGTAGGATAGCCAGGTGTCTGTGTGATAGTATTTTTATGTAAAAATTAATGCTTTCAGATTAGAGGTGTTTTTTTAAAGAAGCCAAATCTAGAATGTTTTTTGGTTTTTTAAATACAAGATATGTTGAATAAATTTTTTAATATCCAGATAAATTTGGGAGCTGGTCTTTACACATTCATAGGTAAGTCTGGCAGAGTAACTTCATCCTTTTGTAGGACAGTGGAATATTATCAACACAAAAAGGATATTTTCATAGCAACATGAGGCACAACCTACTATTTTCAGAGAACAATTTACTATAATCAAAGACAGTTACAGTTTTGTATTTTCCATGTAACCTTTCCTGAAGGAATGATAGTAAGAATGCAACATTTAAAACAAGGGCACTGTTAAGACATTCCTTATCAGTTCTGAACAGGATTAATTTTAACGATAATTCCACTTGTCTACACAGTGTTCTTAGATGTGAAAAAAATCCATGGGATTAGGCCAAATATTGTCATGGTAACTAAAAGAGAGGGAAATAACTCTAAAACAGTTCCCAATAAGCAAGAGCAGCTACCATTTCATCAGTAGCCTTCAACAGAACGTGACATCTGTTTTTCATTTGTTGTTTCTAGGCTTGAAGAAAAGCAGGATAATTGGAAATAGTACGATGTTCTGGGAACATATTGAATAAAAAGACTCTTAGTGCTTTTTAAATATTGGTCCGTTTATTTTTAAAAACAACTAGCTTGTACCTTCTTTCACCATTTGGAAATTGGACAAGTTAGTCGGAAAATTTTCTGGACTCAACTATGCTCAAGCAGTGAAAGATCAGAGCAAGCTTCTTGCTTTAATAAGAACTACCATTTAAAGTGAGAAGTGGAGGACACCTATTTTTGGAAACTGAGAAGATGTAAATGAATTAATTGTATGAAATTATGTGATTACTTCATATTGGGGATAAAGTAACTTAAAGAGGTAACATGTACCAGTGTTGGTGTTTTCCGCTTCTTTTATTCAATACACCACTGTGTCTGAAACACGAATTTAAAATAGTACTCATAAATGTACTGATAGGAAACAAGCAGACAAAAATCCAGTTGTGAAACTTGAAGTCAGGGGAAAAAATTGGAAAAATAAGTCATAGTTTTTACCAGCAAGGGTAGTTACCAGCGAAACAGTGTATAATTGAATTTTACCACACATTAAGTATTTAATAAACTATTTGGAACATTTCTAAGAAGTTGATCATGAACTGTTAAGTGTGCTCTACCCAGTATTAGAAAACCTTGTTTGCTCACCCAGGCTAGACAAAGCACACACAAATAAAAGCTCTTTTGTCCTATCAACACATGAGATGTTTAAACGCCAACTTATCAGCTAAGAGGTTGATTTCAGGCACTCACAGTTTTGCAGTAGGAGCTCACAAGTTAGTTTATGGTTAAAAGCTTGGACATTTGGTAGGAGTTAAAAAAAGAGAAGAAACAATGACTTTACTTTATTTATCCTGAATATTATTTAACTGTGTCTTCATAACAAGGAAGCAGAAAAAAAAAGAGAGAATAATAAAAACTTAAAGCTTACCTGATGTTTCCTAAATCAAAATTCTGAAGGATAATACTGTATGAAAGACTTGTTGATATATACTTAGTGAAATATAATCTAAATACATTTCATACACTGGCCACCTCTGCAGCTTCTTGAAACCTCACATTTCAAGGTCTGATAAGGGTCAGTACAAAGGGTGTTGCTTAACTCACTTGTAATTTTTTGTCAAAAGGTCATGGCACCCAAAACACTTAAGTCAAGAACCAATAAAGAGTCATAAATGGACACCTTTCAGTTTGTAAGATTAATCAAACCAAAATACCCCCAAAACCCAATACATCACCAAGGCAAAAACCTCACAGATCCATTCCCAAACCATTTAAACTAAAACATTACTAATGGCTAATTTCATGGGCAATGTGCTACTTGTGCTATTTTCCTCTCTTCATACTGACAAAAATGTAGCTATAAATTATTGTTAGCATCAATTCTTCCACTCCTATTCATTCAGGTAATCTCTGGGGCAACACTAGGATGGCCCAATAACTATAGATAATGTGCTAGATGCAATTTCCAATTTGAAAGCTCCACTGTAGGAGCACTTTTCCAAAAGGAACCTATAATAAAAATAAATTTATTTCAGGCTGCACTCTGTATTTGAAATTATATACTGACATTGTCTTACGCATGTTTGGCACCTGATTTTAGTGCATCCTGATATCTTTGACCTTGCCCACTGCTGAATTGTGTGGTGACATGACTCATATCTTTTGAATTCCCTGGCCCAGGATCAGGTTGCTCATGCGTGTAATCCATGCTGTTCCCAGATATTCTCCAGGTAGGGATGATAGAGAAACTGCTGCTCAGCTTAGGCTTGCTGTCCTGCCTGCTGAGGAGACTGTTATGATAACAGCTGTGTTTACCAGCTTTCCAGCAGCCTGGAAATTCATAACATTAGGGCAGTTCAGGTACAGTCATATCTTATTAGTGTGCACAACAGCAAAAACAAACCGCAAATCATAAAAATGCTTGAGTGTGGGGGTCTTTGTTTATAGAGACATTTCAAAAATAAAGCTCACTTATTCTTGTGACTATTTGTCACGGCAAGGACAGCCTTAATTTTTTTCCCCAGTTTTATTTTTCCTTACCTCTCTGCTGGTTTGAGGCTTTATTGCCTTCAGTTATTTGCCTGAATAGCAACTTCATACACAGAAAAGACAGCTAATAGGCAGTGACCATCACTAATGGGGGGCAAACACTGAGGAATTTCATTCTTGATGATTGACCATCAAGTACATGGTGGTTTTGTCACCCTCATCCTCATGTCAGACTGTATGAATCTGACCTGCTAGGCTAGGGCAGGTGAAAATTAGTGAGCATGAGGCAGCCTGCATATGGGCCAGGTTCTCAAGGAAACTGTCTCTCCAGCCCATTGTCCACTGGTCCACTGCCCCCCTTGCAGCTCTCACTACCCACTGACCTACTGCCCCTCTTGCAGCTCTCACTGCCCACTCCATTGCCTCCAGGAGTCAAAAAACAACATGGGGAATGTCTATGGATGTTTTCAATCCCTGCTGCTTCAGCTCCCAAGAATGCTGGTGTTGGAGAAGGGGAGAACTTAGGGTTGGAGAGGAGAAGCCACAGGCACAGCTGTAGTTTATATTGTATTGATTAGAGGACCAACTTCAATATGTAGAAATAATAATAGACATAGAGATGCCAGCTGTGGAAATCTTCTTAGATAGCTGGAGATTATGTAGTAGGGCTGGAAATGAAAGAGGAAACTGATTTATTCTCACTGTTCATTACTGCAATTCAGAGCAATTTATTTAAGGTCACTATCTCCCATTCTAAGGGAAAATGCAAACATTAATCTTCATATACTGTCTCTTGGAAACCAGTATTCTAGACAATTAGTTTGCTATCCTCTTTTTATGTGCAGTCTTTTCATATTCAGCAAGAAGGATAGTAGTCTAATCATCTGTGCTGTACATATGGCCTTGAGTACATACCACAGTTTAAACAAACAGGAGATGATTGCTGTCTTCACATTGATGATACCTTCAGTATGCTTTTAGGGTCAATTTTTATTCATTTCAAATAGTGCTTCTATTATTAGGTCTAAACCCACAATAGTACAACAGGAAACTCACATCTCCTGCTTGGGTTGTACAGAAGTGCTTGTGGTAAGACTAAGACAGAGATGAGTACAGGCCATTCTTTAAATTTTTGCCTTTAAGGACAGATTCTGATGTCCCTGTTAGTCAGGGCACCTCTAGCTTACCTGTCCAATGCACTTTCCTTGTGCATTTCAATGTGCAGCTATATTTTGACTAAGGTGTGCATGTCCCATGTACCATGATCCTGAAGACCTAATCTTTGCTTTACAAGGGAATTTAGATTCACCAAGCAGGAGCCCATCCTTCTCTACATGGAACTGAAATAAACACCACCAGAGACAGTGAGGTAGGTGAAAAGCACTGACTTCTGACTTCGTTTTGTCACTGTGAAAATATCCATACTCTTAGACAATACCAACCTGTGTAACCTCTCCCACTGCCAAAGAAACATGGAGAAGAAAAGATGTCCCATAATACCAAGAAAGACTAAAAGCTCAGGTTTTGCCTGTTCTGGTGAACCTAGAGGATGTCACCAATATTTTCAATATGATGGATAGTGAGATTTTTCCTCCTTTACATTATTTGGAATTTCTTTTCTGCCTTAGAGGTCAGACTAGAAGCAATAGGTTTTCTCTGCTGGAGATGATGATAAGTGAGGTAGAAGTCAAGCCACCCAAGGACAGAGACACGCCCATCTTAATGATGTTACATACATGTTAATTCCTGATATCCTAAGTAGCTGCTAAATAATCACATGATCCTTCAACAGCATTAGTGAAAAATATTTAAAGGACACTGAAGAGACAAATAAGGAGCAGGTGGTAGATAAGAGCACCAGTTAAAGGCACAATTCCTGGACAGTCTTCATATGCTCTTTATAAACAACCTTTCCCTGCAAAATTCTTCTTCCTTGATGCATTTCATATCAAAGACAAAAAAAAATTAATGCATCAGGAGCAAACCCTCAGAAGTCTAATCAAGGCTTATGTGACCTTGCGCTCACCACTCCGTCTTTCCAATGTTTCTCTGTCCAAGCCTGGCTCCTTGAGTTTGTCTGAGCCAAATGAACTGGGACATTTGCAAGACCAGGTCTTCCTGTAGGTCACATTTCACTTTTTAACCTTGGCCCTGATGGTAAGCCAGTGTCATGCAGGATCACAGCTCACTTGCTACTTGGTAGAGCCCTGCAGTTGTGGTTTTCCTCTGGGCTCGGAAAGATAGGCCACCTTTCAATGCTTCATCCCTCCCTACTGGCTGCTCTTGCATGGTTTGTGGTTTATTCTCTAAATGTCTGCGAGAAGATTAATAGTGTTACTGCTAATGGGCTCCTGGTAGTAACTCAATATCCACAAGGGCTCTCAAGGACAGCTTTTCTCACACCCACATGCTCAATCTAGAGATGCCAGAGAGAGGACAGGGTAACTAGGGAGGCAACTCCCATCCCTGAGCTGCCAGTGTCCCTCTGCTTGCATGCACATACACACATACATGCACAAGCCATGGCCACCCCATATCCTTCCACCAGCCTGCTTGCTTCCTCACCTTTTATACTCTCCAGCCCTGTACGAAGCAGCCATGAAGAGAGCACCTCTAATACTCATGGTGTCCAAGGAGGGGTCCCCGTGGGCAGCCAGCATTCATAACAACACAGGATTAACTACTCCCAGTCATCATGAGCAGAATCATTATGTGTATCCCTTATCCAAATATTAAGAAAAGGCTGAATTTAGAGCATCAGTTTGTCAGCTTAAATAAAACTTCTGTGGACAGCAGTGGTCCCAGGACTTGTGTAGACTAGGACTGCTAGAGAATCCCAGGAGACCCTGACAGATGCAGTAAGCAGAGTCTGAATCAATTTAGAATTAGTCTTTGTCCTCTCTTAAGTTTTAAGTATAGTGAGGAAAAAGCACTTATATTCCACTTTTGGACAACACAAGTGAAAGTCTGTGCCTGGCCTGCCCTTAAATTTTCCTGCACAGAGTCACTACCCACAAAAAATAAAGTCTGGGTCTGTGTTTTTTCTATGTCTGATAGTACCCACTTGTCTTGTGCAAAGCAGACCAGGGAAACAGCAGCAAACAGATTATAAAGCTGACATCTACCCCCATTGGCTGCTGACTTATACAGAGGATCAATGATTGGTACCAGCTGGAGATTTGGCCACTGGTCTGCTTTGTGTAGCACTTCAGAGATTAACTTCTGGATCAACCAAAGTGACTTTTAAAGTTATATCTATTTTGTTAGATATAACTGCTGACTGAAGAAAAAGAAAATGAAGAAACATTTCTTGGAACATAAAAATGCTTTGTTTAGAGTTTGGACTTTGAAATCACAAGAACATGCAGAATCTTCATGCAAGTAAGAATTCTACAAGCTTTGCATTTGTCTCTAATCCAACCTCTGAATGTTGTTCAGATGGAATTTCAAGCCAGAGCTTCTGCATCCAAGAATTCTATTTAATTCCTGGCTCAGGATGGACAGATTAAGAGTGCTTTCTCCTCACCATCTCTCTGAGTGGCAGCTGAAAACACAAGAGAAATGTTATTTTATGTCAATTGACAAGAGTTGTGTCTTGTGCCATTTTATGTTTTGGGTTGGGTTTGGGTTTGTTTTTTTCTCCTTGATAAATCAAAAAGGATCACCCAAACAAGATGATCCAGAAGGAAAATAATTTTTAAAATAGCGTTTCACTTAAGCAGGTTCCTATAGGGAGGCATCGGGAGGTGTAACAATGAGCCATCTAGCAGCAAACACGGAGAAAGGCTGCAGGGAACCAGAAGCAGGTCCAAGGGCAGCATTTCTCCCTTGCACTCTGCTCCTGCAGTTCTTCTCTGTGGCCAGAAATCAGACAGCATCAGCCCTCACGTGCCCTATCCAGATGTAGCTCCATGTCACAGCACTCTTAAGTTTTTCACCAAACATACCTTTGATATGCTTGGGGAACAGAAGTTTACTTCTTGCCCACCTCAAGACTTTTGCTGTTTTTTTGGTTGAAAGAACTTTGAGATAATAGCCTATGTGCAGTAGTGTACATAACCACGGGATGTTCAGGGAAACAAGCATTGGTTGTAACTCTCTTCTAACTCAAAGAGAGCACATCTACTCAACAGAGAGTACATTCATCAGTCACTCTTACTGGAATCCCTTCACCTGGAATCATGATTTTCTCTGGCAATGTGCCTTGGGAGCAATACAGGGAGGAAAGCATCCATCCATCAAAGACTACAGCTATTTTGCCCATAGTTGCTTCACCAAGAACTTTCATGTCAGAGCTGAAAGCAGGCTGCCCCTGGATCTGCAACCTCAATTCCAGGCCTGTCATTTAGAGAGGAGAAAGAGAAGCTTGGTGTGAGTGGGAAAAATATACTTATCTTGAAAAACAGAAGTTAAAAGTTCTGCTCTGTGGTCTGTTGGCTGAATATCAGGATTTATTTTCAAGTATGTCAGTGTAGCTTGTATCGAAGAGAGATGCTGGAGATTTAGAGAAGATAATTATTTAGATTTGTCTCAATTTTTTGCTTTGCAGACTGGAGGCTGGTGAGCCTATAACCTAGGAAAACATGAGAGACACAGACTAGAATCTCTCCAACACTCACCTTAGAAAGTAAAGCAGACCCATGACCCCTGTAAGGTCAATGGGAGTTTTTCCACTGACTCTAGTAAAGTCTGGACTTCACTCTGAATTTTCCATTATGAAGGCCAAATTTTCCCCTCAATTTATGAAGCATGGTATTTTCCCAGCTTCAGTGCATGCCATCTCTTGTTTTCAAATGATGCATTCGAAAGCTGAAGTACACCTCTGTGAAACAAAGAGCAGGATAAGAGGATTAAATGAAATATGCTTATAGCAAGGGTCATAATGTTCATTTTGTTTGGTAATTCCACTTTGTGGCCAATATAAATGCAAAACATAATATCTCTTGGAGATGCGATGTAGTCTTAGAGAAGGAGGATCACTGACCTTATGTTCAGGATGAACAAACTGACATGAGCAAAGAAATCCCATGATGCCTATCTCCCATTAACTGTTTGTTTACAAAGTTAGCCTTGTAAATTTACTTGAGAAAATAGTAGATTTTAAAAGAAAGCATTTCCATAATTCTCTGCAGTTCTGCTGCTCCTGCAAGTCCATCAGGATATCCAATTCAATGGGGTAGGAGCTCCATTTTTAATATCTTACATTTTAATTAGAATAAGCAACTGTCTTTTTCTTCTTTTCATGTTTTCAGGCTTAATGGCAATAGTACAGAAAATGTAATCTCACAGATCTGGAGGACTCAAAATTAAGAATGGCAACAACATGCAAGACCCTATTTTTTTTTGACCACTTTTAAACTTTTGAACTGCAAATGCTTTAAGGTCCCAGGACCAAGTACTAAATATGCCTTTAATTCTTAGGACCCCAGGGTTACTTTGTGGTACATTAGCACTTTCAATTCTAATGTGATCATTTTCAGCCTGAGGCTGAAACAAACCATTTATGGGAGCATACTAAGCAGTTTGATCCTTTGCTCACCAGAGAAATGAGTACAGTGATGAAAAAAAAAATCCATACAACAGAGCCCTGGATGTACATAAGGGCTAGATTGTATGCTTAAGAGCAAAGTGGGCAGGAGAGTACATGAAAACATATACTTGGGCTCAATGGCTCTCAATGAGCATTAGAGGTCACAATGCAAAAAGCAATTCGACATGAGAAATTACACTGGTGTGATAACAAAGTTAATAAGAGCAATGAGTGTATAAACAAGGAAGAAATGATTAGGAGAGGAGATTAAGGTAATTTTATCTCTCTGTACAGTGCAAAATTGACTACTAGGAGAATTCTTCACAGCTGTAAAATATCACTGAAAAAACCCAAAGAAACTCAAAACTCATAATAGGACTGAAACAAGTAGAGCATCTTCCAGACAAAACCAGAATAAATTTTCCTTATCTTCTCAGAAAATTTTGGAATGCTCAGAAGAAAAAAATCCAAACAAAAAATCTCTCAAAAATAATCAGAAGATACAGTACATAATCTTTGATACAGTGGACAAGCCAGTATGTGGAAAAAGGTCCAATGTATTTAGATAAAAACACATATTTCCTTACTTGATCCAAGATCAATGATTAGACACTGTTCTAAGGGGAGTGACAAGTATTTGCCTCTCCCTGTGTTGACTTTAGGTCTAGCTGCCTGACAGAAGAGCACACATAAATAAAACAGAGTTAATGGAGCAAGATATAGTCATAACTAGATGAAACGTAATGGCCTGTGATGTACACAAGGTCAAACTAGATGATCTAATTCTGGCCTTAAACTTCATAAATTGTTTCTCACAGCTGCCCTAATGATCTAGTTGCCAGTTTAGACTTGAGTTGGCTATGAGTTTTCGACACCAATTTCATTGCAATAGCAGCATCCAGGACAATTTCAGGGCCAGAAGCACTGCAGGTGGCTGAGAAATGGTTTGTACCTGGTGTCCCATGCATGTCAGGAGTGGCACAACGTAGTGATGCATGGCACTTGGTTTTCAGGATTTTTGTTTCTGGAGTCTTCGTGGTTTAATTGTCCTGGATAGCTTGTCCCCAGAAAGGTGCATGTTTCAAAGAATCTGACTTTCCAAACTGATTGTTAGGAAGCCTGTGAGCTGGTACTCATATCTGTGGGGCTGTACATGTACCTGAGCATAGCACTGCTCCAGTGCTGAACAGGCCACAAGTCCCTGTAGAACCTCTATGGAGCAATACCTAAAACCAGTTATTTTAGGTAGATGGAGGCCTGAAGGCTGATTTTCTCATTTGAAAAACAGTCTCATTGTTTACTACATCAGCTGGCTGCACCTTGCTGCAGGTGCTTTGTACAATGGGGAACACACTTTTCTTCTCCAACCCATAAAGCTCTCCCATTTATTAGCATTTTTGTGCAGAGTGGTTTATTTGTTGAGGGATTCAATTTCTGTAGGCATCACAACAAAGATAGATGTCCATCAAGTCTGTTAGAAATTAGCAATATCCTTTCATTCAAATTTAATCACAAGTGAAGTTTAACTTGCATTTGTGAAGGATGAGGCATTCAGATATGGTTTTATGGTTACAAAACACATGTAATGATTTTGATACTGGAGCCAAAAGGACATCATCAGACAGGAAGAAAATTGTCTCCTTGGTAATATTTAAAATACTTTCAAAACTAAATGCCTTGAGTTGATGCGTTCCTAGCTCCTGAAGGGCATAGAAAATTCTCTAATGTATTGGAAATTATATCTAAATGTAATCAGCAAAAGCACTGGTACAGTTTATTTCCAGATGAGACCTTGAAATTCTGCCATATTTTTCAGATATCATTGTTACACTATCATCCTGTTAATTAATTATTTAACACAATTATCCCTTCTTGCCCTCCATAAGAGTGAGCAGTTTACTTAGTTATATGCAAAATCATAGGCTGATACAATTTGCTGACTAGAAAAATCACTGCTGTTTTTTTGTATTTATTTGTGTAGAAACACATGCATACAGACCTGTTTGGTCTTATTGCATAGCTGATAAATGATAATTGATTTACAAAAATTTTCTGGATACTTTACTCTAATGTACCATTATACTAAGAACATGCTGATTATAACAAAAAGCACAGAAATTTAAATGGTACTTGTGCATCTGCTTATGTGTATATGTGATTTTCCGTGCTGGTGTAAAATGCATGGGGTATTTTTACAATTGCAAATATCTATTGCAATTAAAATTGAAAATAATTAAAATTAATAAATAGTGAAATAATTATTATTTTTTAAAAATAAATTACTGAAAAATATTTAGTTATAAAATTATGTGACATACCATAGTTCCAAAATACTTACAGGTATAAAATGTAACTGTAAAAACTAGATGAAATGTAATGGCCTGTGATGGATCCTTAAACACCTTTTTGATTACTAATGTCCCATTTGATTTAAGACTTGACTTCAGGCAGTCACCTCATTGCAAATACTTCTGTGGGCTTGCTTGGGACAAATTAACATTTTACATACAAAAATGAAAGGTCCTGGACTTCGGCGCACACTCTGAGCCATGCCAGAGTGAGACAACAGAATTCAGTCTAGTTTCGCTCTGCTTTCTTTTCTCTACAGTACAAAGGCATCTGTGAAGGAAAGTAAAACAATCTTTTTAGTGGTTGTTAAAGTTTTTTGAGGCACATCAAATGCGCAGTAGCAATTGAATTGTACCCTAAAATGTCAGCAAAATTTAATTAGAAGAAAGAGAATCTTAAATGTATCCTTTGCCATCAAAAAAGTGTAATTAAAAAAAAATCTCATCAGGAAAATGCACCAAATTTCAGAAGCTGCCACAGATTTAACTAATGATGAAATCCTTTTGAAAATTATAGTCATATGCTTTGATAAACATTATAAAATCTTGGTCCATTACTAGTCTTTCTTCATTCAGTGAAGTTGAAGTACTTTGGGAAAATTTAAGGAAGGAAGAAAATCTGTTGTGAATTAAAATTCTGGAAAAATGATACATCTCCATAAAATTTGTTACTAAGCAATTTTTCTTGTGAATTTTACAAAAGCAACTGAAAATTCAATCAACTCTGTTTTATGGATTTAATTACTCTTTTAAATAGTTTATTTTCAGTGGTTTTATTAGTTTTCAAATACTGAGAAGAAATTATCATATGCTCATAATAATTTTGCTCTTTTCCTTAAATCAGTATTTTCCATTAGCAATATTTCTTTCCCTCTTTTCTGTACAGAGACATTTCTGACTGACATAAAGCAGATGAACTCAGCAGTCTTTTCCTACACCCTTAGGAGGAAATTAAAATAAAAGGCCAAAACAGAGAAAAAAATATTTCAAACTGCCGTAAAACAAAATGAAGCTCTTGGCAAGAATTTGTGTAATATATCTAGCAGTTTTAAGATTATCAACCAAACCTCACTGCTTTTGTTAATCTACTATGAACCTTTGTCTTTCTGGTGAGATTTTCAGGTTCTGTGAACAATGCACGGAGATTGTAATGATGGCCACCTGTCCTCTTCAAGCTCATTTCACCCATCATTACAGCTTTGGCACTAATTAGAGGGAGCTAATAGATAAAGATAAAATGCAATTACTACTATGGAAAGTACAAGACTTTATTGGTGTACCAAATTTTTTGGTAGGCAATTTTCACTTGCTGCAGACACAATGAACATTTTCTCTCAATTTCAGCTCTAATATAATTTCCTTCTATAGTATTTCTAATAATGTTCAAAACTATCATCCTCATAACAACTGGGAAAAATTAGCTAGCACCATGTAATTTTAAATTGCATTGGGTTTTTATTTAAAGGAAGCCTTTTGCCTCTGTTTTCCCCATTTACTTGGGCAAAGCAGTGTTTGGAACCTGTTGGTTTTGGAACCTCTCTGAAAGCCAAGCGTCCGCTACGGAAAGCAGGAGCCTCCCTTGGAATAGAAAATGTAAACCCCCTCCCACTGAATTATTAGAATTTTGAAATTAAGGGGGTCTCAGGCTAAGAGATGAGGATAGGAATAACATTTCTTTACTGGTGTGTAAGATAAAGCAAACAAGCACCCACGGCTGCGGCACCGACTCCAAACAGGCCCCGGGCCCAGTCCCGGCCTGCTCGGCCGCGGGCCCTTTCCCTGCGCTGCAGTTCCGGGCACGGCCGGCAGGGGCGCTGCTGCTCCCGGGGCGGGGCGGGGGCGGGGATTCCCCGCGCCTGCAGGGGGCGCTGTGGCGCGGGCTGGGCAGCGTGCGGTGATGGCGGCTCGGCCCGGCCGGGAAGGGAGGGAGGAGCGGCTTCGCCTCACAGCCTTGGGGCAGCCGATCCCGGTGCCCCAGCAGGGCTCTGAGGAGCACCAAGCCGGGACGGCAGGGTCTCGGCAGGCAGGGGGTGTGGGCTGCAGAGCAGTGAAAACTCGGAGCAGTGCTGCAGAAGCGGCAGGGGCAGGGCAGGGGCGGCCCGGCTCCCAGCAGCGCAGGGAGAGGCGAGCTCAGGATCCCAGGCACCCCAACAGTCGGGGATGGGTCCCTCTGTTAGTGAGGGAGGCGATAATAAGGGCTCAGTTCAGTGGCTGCTCTCACGAACAGAGGCTCACCTCATGCCGAGCGAGAGACAGAGAGACAGACAGACAGACAGACAGACAGAGCAGCTGCCCCAGCCTCATCCCTTACCTGCCCAATTCCTGCGGTATCTCTGACCCTCGGAGAGAAGCTCCCAGATAAGAGAAGTGCAACCAGATGTCCTCCTCCGAGCTTGGCCACTTCTTTTGCTTTCTTAAGTAGCCAGTTGTTAGTGTTTCCTAGCAACTTATGGGAAAAAATTCTGTAAGTAAAAAGGAACAAAAGGAAAGAAACCTAACCCTCAACAGACCCCTGCACAACTTCTGGGGTGTAGCAGAAAAAGTTGTAAGCAGCTTTGTGATTACTTTGACAAAAGATGCTCCAAAAGATGTTGTACAATTTGAGTGTCGATGCGCCAGCTGGCTCCAGATGTTTGCATTGTATTGCTTTTTAAGAATGGCTGTGCAACCATGCATGACATCCCTGTCTCCCTGGTTCTACTGGTGTTACTCTGCCTCTATAGATATCTGCCCTCATTTTCTGGAAATAGTTATGAGAGGTGGAACTACATGATCAGCAGACCACACGATACTATAAAAACCACAGGAATAAATATATAAGAGTTTAAAGGAAGCATTGGCTTAAACTAGTGTGTCAAATGCAAATGTAATGGTGAGTTGCCTTGCTCATAGTTTGGGAGATATGTAATAATTTTTTTTTGTTGTTTTTGTATTGTGGGTACCAGAATTAAGAAAAGCTTTTAATTCCCATTATTAATAATTTTGCTCTAGTCCCTTTGCCCTACAGTATACAGGGTTATTAATCAGTATGAATAGCAAAAGAATCTATTTATGATTCAGTTTATAATGACAACACACTCCTGAGCTGTAAGTACTATGTCACTGTACTGAAAGAGCACAATGTTTATGTCAAACCTTCCTGGGATGGGGCTCATTACTCGACAGTGATTATTATGGCAAATATCCCAGTATCCTGCAGCATATCTACATGATATTCTCCTTACAGAAAGAGGAGGCAATTGCTCACATGTCTGAGATGAATTATAGCTTCCCAAGATCAGCTGGGAATAAATTAGCTGTCTGCTAAATACAATTAAGGTGGCACGCAATGTTTATTTAGTGCATAAGATAAGGAAACTCCTAGTACAAATATCTCTATATTCAGAATATTATCACTGTATAAATAGCTTAACAAGATGAATGGTGGCTTTCTAAAATAGGCAACATATAAACTGGCTGCCTTATGCCTGTGTCAGATTGACTCTGTTAGTCTTATCTACAGATGCTTCTGATCCCTTGCTGGCTCGAGCACAAGTGACCTGCACAGTGTGAAACATCCTACAGCTTCCCAGTTACTTAAGACAATCAAATGTTTCTTCACAGAAACCTGATTTTTTGACGTTACAGGTCAGGTTTATCTCAGGTTGCTAAGGTTTTTCACCCCTTCTGCCTGAGTCATTACACATGTCCTGCTGAGATGGATTGTCACATCTGCAATATTCTGCATCTGCATCCTCCAGTTCACCTAACTCATGTACTCTACATGTCTTTTTTTTTTTTTTTGTTTATTTATCTTCCCAAACTCAGAGCTTAAGACAAGTGAACAAAGAAAAAGACAAGTGGAGGACACCACAAAAGCATCAAGAATAAGCAATGCTCTTGTTCAACAGTGTTTCTGAAGACAAAAAACTCAGGCTACATAAACATGAAGACTCTGTCTTACTTTGAATGAGAGTAGTTCTTTTGCAGAAAGATTTATGTGATTTACTATTCATTTGTCTCAATCCAATCCCTTAAATGATTTCTGATAAACAGGTGATTTTAAAATGTTTTTCTGTGGCATAAGATGCACTTGTCCTCACTCTTTTCTGCTATTTATTGATTACATTATCCCCAGAAATCAGTCTGGCATCCACTACTGACTAAAATCTTTGTTCATTTATCTATAGTATTTATTTCTGTCTGGTGCATTGAGATAACATCAAGCCTGCCAGTTAAGTAGCTATTCTCAGTGTAAGCCTCTGTTTACAACTCTTACCCAAAAAATATCTTCAGAAACACCAGTGAAGTGGCTGTTCTCTATTACTTAGGTTGTTTTTTTTTTAATCCTTGCTTTTATTTTTAAGGATAATTATGAATATTTTGTTTATGCACTGTGGGTTGTGCAGCATGGTGGTAACAAACAGCAGCAAGCTTTGTTGGGGGTTTTTTTAGGGTTGTTATCTTTCTTTCTTTCTTATTTGTCTAAATAAATTATGTAATAATTTGCATGACAACTGGCTATTGGCATATATATTTCTTTCTATCCCAGGCTTAAGAAGCTTTTGGGAAAGTCAGTATTTTGCTTGTTTTTGTTTAAATAAGAACATACTCTGAACATACATGAATAAACATGTAGGAGCTTAAAAGGAGCTGCAGTTGTATTTAAAATTCCAAAAGTGAAGACAGTGTTGAGCTGTCCTGCCCATCCATGCAGAGGGAGCATTTTCTCATTTGACTTACTATGGAGACAGGATTTATAAATGCATATACAACACATTAGCAACCTGTTTCTCACATATAATCTACAGGTTTGAAAGCTTTGGGACATGATCATCTTTCTGTATAAGAAGCCTGCCATATTGTAACAGTACCACCTGAAGCCAAGACCTTCAACCTGGGAGACTTTGGGGACCACTGCAAAGCAACAAAGGGACCTGAACAGAGATTATACAATCTGCATTTTTTTTTTTTCCATCTGACTTTTAATAGCGGAACTATACAGTAGACATCCATTTATATCTTCAATGTAGTTCCATAATTCTTGAGTTGCCTCAAAAAACTTGAGGACTTTAACCTGTCATTACTATAACAAACACCTAATTGAGATTTTTTTTTAAGTCACTTTGGAGATAGGACTTGAGCATCTGGGTAATTTCAAAGAAAATGGCTCAATGATAACTGAAAGTGTGTGACCACAAATATTTCTCTTCCATCACTTTGTGTACTTTGTGCATTACATATTGCTACAGTCCTTTTCACTAGAGATTCCAGTAAATCCTAAGCAAATTTTATATGAGACAAAAAGTAACAAATAGAAAAACAGTTATACCAAAGCCATTAAAAATTTCAAAGAATACTCAATAGTTAAAGAACGAAGAACACGAGCTATTTAAATCCCTTTTATCTCCATTTTAATGAGACTTTTATTTAAGATTGAGTTTGCATGAAATACCTGGAATTTCATTGTCAGATCTTTTTTGTTCATCAACAAAACTATGTATTTTTAAAAAAACAACGACTAGTTTCCCTTCAGAAGCAATATTTTGTTGATACTAATGTTAAAAAGCATTGTTAGCATTGTAATAAATATGTCACAATACATGAGAAAGTCTTATTGTCAGCAATTGTACTGCTGAAAATCAAGTGTAACTAGGTGAGTGGTTGTACCCTAACTGATCAAAGGTATGCCAGCTCCAGGACCCATTTGTAGCAGGTGTCTGGAGAAGGACAAGGACAGGAGGAGCACACAATAAACTGAGTCTTTTTCCACCCTCATGTGGGATGTAAACCAGTTGTTAGGGTACCTCCCCAGTCTAATGGTGTCTTACTTTTAAAATTTTTTCAGCAGTTTTTTTTCCAATATAATGTCCAGCAATTCTTCAATCCATTTTCATTCCTACTGCCCACAAGAAGCTTTGGTAATGTTACACAGCTAAACTGAAGAGGGTTATCTTATTTTGTTGCCTGTTTCCTGTTGCTCTCAGCACCTGCATCCTGAAAAATGTAATCAAGCAATATTCACCTTCATCATACCACTTGGGATTTGTCAGTTTTTCATTTTATCCTCCTGAGGTCTGAAAACTTAGGACTGTATTTAGGGTGCTACTGAGGCATTTCTTTCATGATAGCTGCTGCAATAACCAGGGCTTTTTTGGCCTTTCTTTGAAATGAGTCCTGTTCTGCAGTACTACTTGGGATAAATGCAACATTTAAGGAGTAAGGATTTGCTGAGGGACTCAATGATATTTTGTTTCTTCTCTATTCCTGCCTCTGTTGGTGCTGGCAAAGCTGATGAGCTTGATGAGCAACTCAGCAGTAAAGTAGCCATTATCTCAGACATAGGAAAAGACATAAATTTGTGTCTAGAGTGTCTGAGGTTTCTTTCTGGTGGAAACCTTATATCTCTTGGGAGATTTTGGCAAGCCTCGGGTGTGTGAATGCTCTCTATGAACAGCAGTCCGATTAAGAGCCGTCTGAAAGCCACAGCAGGATTTCCACTGACTTAAAGGAAGGCTTAAGGAACTGTCTGACAGTGAGGGAACACCAGTGGATAGTGCACTTCTCTTGAAGACTAAGCACACACTATCAATTTTCATGTTATGAAATTTAATAAAGGCAGGAATTCTTTTGTCTCCACTTCTTCTCTGCATGCAGGTGAAATACTTCTGTTTTGTTGAACCTTGTATTGTTTGTTCCCAGAGTATGACTGTATTTTGCTATACTTCCTATAGCTGTAATTTTTTTTGCTTTATTGTACAACTGCATAGAAATGACCTAGTTCTTCACTGAAATAATGCATTTTTAACAACAGCAAGTAAAAGACAGTATTAAACTGCATCACTGATAACTTTTTTTTTTTTTTACATTCTGTGTTATTTAGGGTTTTTTTAGAATTTTTAAAATTGAAATAGAACTCCAGTGGTAACTGTATGAACAGTTGTGATAAAGGGATGAATAAGCATGTGAGAAGGCAATCTTTTCCTGAGCATACTGCTGTGACAGGCATCAGTGAAGCGGCAAGGGGCAGAGGTCCTTGTGGTAGTGGCTCACTGAGCTCATTCAGTGGCACCACAAGCAACAGTAAATACTAATCACTGTGCAGATAACAAGTAGAATTGGGTTTGGAAGAACTGCCAGGTAAATTATCCTGTCTTCAGGGTGTCATTTATATGGGTGTGTTAGCGCATCACAACAATTATTTAACTGAGGAAGGAGGAAATGAATGGAAAATTTGTTCAACAGCACCCATGCTCATTCAATCAAATCATTCAGACTGGCATTGGAGCACCTGAACATAATTAATCTCTTGCAAGTCTCACCAATTGCATCAAAGAAATTTTTACCACTTATTTCTGGAGAGAGGTGAAAGATATTCATTATAGATATTCATTACAGATCTTCCTTCCCCTGCTCATA